AAAACCGACAAAACTATGTACATTCAAATGGAACACTCTGTATGTTTCTGCACCATTTTATAGAAAATGAAATTATCTTTTCACCGATATAGACATTGTAGGGGTTACAGTTTCAATTCTCTGATATTTGCGATTTACTTATTATCAAATGTGTCTTGATTATGATTATAAACAACATTATACATTTGAACAATTTCTAGGCTGGTTGCCATGTCATCGCTTTCGACTTGATTTTTCCAAAGACTTCTTCAGAAATCTTTCTTCAGAACAAACTTAGATGTTGGATATTAAATCCTCTGACTGGTACTGATGTACGTTGTGAGTACTGCTGATCCATCCAGGTCCTTGATTTGAAATCCTAAGCATATACCGTACCAGTCCTTGATTTTTAGGTATTAATTGTTTCCTAATTTCAGGTAGTCTTGTTTGATATTATTTCGATTCTTCTGGATTTCTATATCTCCCCTGAGGTGTTGTAGATGGTATTAATACTTTGCTTCCTTAAGAAATTGCTTGTTTAGGTTGCCGCCAGATTTTCTACTTTTTTCTTATTCTTAGATGCTCTACTGTGATGGTTCGTTGAATGTTGCTGTTAGTATAAATTCTACTAAATTATCATCCTTGTATTAATTATGCGAAGAAGTTGCTCGAAAGTTTTCTTAATTGGAAAAATATGCAATGCTAACTTTTTCGAAAACTGCATATTTTCAAAATCTTTTAAAATAAGAAATATGTCACTCCATCACCTATTCCCAGAAATTTTTGCAGTCTGTAGTCTAGAGGCCTATACCGAACTTTGATAGTGCTGTCTGGTTAAAACGGTTTCAGTTTGCCGTCATGTTTTAATAATTTTTTTTATTAGTTACACCCAATTTAAATTTGCGCGCTTCGTAACTCACAATTAAGTAATTTTTAGTTTTATGGCAGATAGGTATCTACATAAATGATACAATTTTAAAAAGTATTGTCGACAAAATGAGAAATTGGTATTTGTAATTTATAGGCTACCGCTTAGTGCGAAAAGTTGCTATTTTTGTCTGTCTTGAACTCTACAAATATTGATTTGAATGGGTGTTATATTTGCAAGTGCGATCATTAATTACGGTCCGTTATGGCACCAATTTACTTTAATGGAATATAACTGTCATCTGAAAACTAGGCTAATAATTTAATGTCATTGGACCTTTATCGATGTTTTAAAAGTTGCAGTGTTTGTTTCTGCACGAGTTGGCAATAAGCCAAATGACGACGAATACCACAACACTTAAGTTTTATTTGATAGTCTGAAGTATTGTTTCGATATCGTGTAACATGAAGGTCATATTTTTCTCGAAAGTGTCGTGAGTACACAATGTGGAATTTTCTAAACAACGTAAAATGTTTATGTAAAACTACACAGATGATTGGTTACACTGACGTCACATTATGTTTACATAAAATATAGAAAACACGATATGGATTTTTAGGAATAATTTTAACATGCAACGAAATAATTCGTTGTAGAAGGAAAATATACAAAAACTTGAAATAGTACAGCTAAACGCTTAGTTCTACACAACGTAATATTATTTCAATTTTTTTATGCATAAAAACCCTGTTAATGTATAAAATCCAATTTAAATTTGCGTATTTCTTACTACAGAGTGCTATATTTGTAGCAATTAATCAGATAGTTCTCTAGATAGTTCACTAATAGTTTTTTATGAACATGAACAGTCCCAATCTTCAGATTCATTTACGTATCCTATCAGCCAACCTACCACGTCGCAGTCATCATATTCTGACCTAAGTAGTACATCTTCGATGTCAACTTTGAATATCACGGATAATGAAAAGATTATATAAATATTTTCGTGATGATAGCCCAAGAAAGATGAAACTAAAATATGAAGTCAGGCGGCTCTCCTTCATTTCCAAAAAATAAAAACAAAAAAAAAGATAACACGCAGAAAATAAACGTCATTTGAAAAAGAAAAATGACAATTTAAGAAACAGAAAAAATAATAATTTTTTTTAATAACTAGTAAAAATAGTACACCCAAGTTACAGAAAAATTAAATTGTGGTATCATGTATTAAAAATCTTTTTGAATATGAACATGTTTGAGAGTTTGCATGCAACATCAATTTGACGATTTCCCTAACAATTGTAATCATTTAATAGAATTGTAAGGGCTATATGTGAATAGTGTATTAATATGAGAATAAATCATGAAGTCAAAATATTTATTTCAGTAAAATCTACGAAAAGAAAAATATTAAATAAACTAATATTACTTAAAGGACAATAAACATATTTAAATAATTTTGTAGGTTTATTTAATATAAGCAAGACATTAAAATATATTATTTTTTGAATTCCAAGTTTGAAAAATGAATTTTTGTCATAAGTGTAAAAATATTGCTTAATCCCGACCTGTTCAAAGTATGCGCGGTCACTTCCCCGCAATTTGCATTCACTGGTACCCGTGCATTGGAATTAGATACAGCCAGTCTAGGTGGTCTATGGTTCTCTATGGACAGATAATAATAATATATGAATTAAATACTAGAACAATTTTCTTACAAATTTTACAAGTAGTTGGTAAAAGTATAGATTAATGACACTTAAATTTGCAAAGAATTTTATGTTTACATTAATATTTCATATTTTATCATACATAAAAAATGTCAGTATGAGGCAGATCTTGGTTTGATATCATAAATGAAAAATTTCTATAATGAAACTTTTATCGATTACAAACCTCTTGAAAGGTACCGTGGCAGTATTTCTATTGAAAAAAATTGTAATTCCCACACAATAGATAGAAACCTGATTTTGAGAACAATAGCTCGTTCGTGGTTTCTTCTGATCCTTTGATTTGAAATTTTATGCTACCAGTGCCTTTTGCCACACCGTTACACCGTTAGAGGAGTGCTCCTTCTTTTCAATGCTATATCTCCTTATATTCAGAGACTTTATTGTATGCCCTAAATATTATATAAGCAGGGATGTTACATAGGTGGACAAATTTTTAGTAGTGAGTTAATAAAAATAATCAAATAAATAGCACGAAAAATGTATATTGCATCTGTCCAATATCAACGTTTTTAAGGTTTTATGTTCAGGATATTTTATCAACTTTCTATGTAATAATTTGCATATTTCAGATTTTAAGTAGAGATAAAAAAACTGGTCACAATTTTTTTTTTTTTTCTAAAAGGAATAGGTATCTTATTATTTGCAAAGCTATGCCAAGCTATTCAAATATCCCTAATTATGCAATTTTTACTTGTTTTCCAACCATTTTTCACTTAGATTTTCTGTAAGATCATTTTCCAAGTAGTTGAATGCTTTATGGCGAAATTACCAAAAAAAAAAATATTAAAGTCCATAGACCTTTTTAAGGACGAGCAAAAATTTGGAAAATCTTTTTTCGTTGGTTTTCTTATGATTAGTTACTCAAAAACTGCTGATGCTAAAAAATTTTAAACTGCAGATCCAAAAACTAGAAAATTGAATCATCAGTTTCCTTTTTTTAATTCTCTCTACGATCATTTTTCCCCTCTAAGTTACAGCTCTTTCACAAAAAAAATTTGCGACTGGTAATATCCCTTAATTTTTGTAATGTATGAAAAGCTGTGGCAATTCTAAAAGCATTCTAATAGATTTTGCTCACACTAATCTTGCAATATAATGTTATCACATTTTTGTCCTGTGAAACTTTTTATTTCTTTATTTATTTATATATTTTTATTATAATTATCTTTTTCACCACCTATTAACTTACTATAATAGCAAATTACAAATCTGTTTCAAAACATTACATTTACAAATTGTTTCCTTATTTTGTACATAATTTATTTCATTTGGAAGATAAATATTGACCTGAAGATACTTTTGGTAGTCTCGGGCCAAATACAATAGAAAACGCCAACACAATTTGGTCTAACTAGAATATAATTCAATTTGAAACAGTGCCAGTCTCAGGAATCTTTTATTTTTGTTTCTCAAGTCCTTAGAGGAACGTTACTGACAAAGTTGCAATAAAAAAGGAAAAATACAACTCTCAGAAGTATCCGCCTCTTGTGATTTATCTCTACGTAAAATTTGATTTATCGCGAATAGATACCTATCGGCTTCTAGTACTTAGAGGTTTATGGATTTTATGAAATAAATCAGAGGAAATTGAATAAGGTGTTAACGTTTTTGTATTAGTAGAAAATTTTGTATGAAGGCGTTAATGAAAAAAAAAAAACAACTGTGTACTGTATTTGACTTTCAATGAAAAGGATCCATGTGGTCATTTTTGTATGATTTTAACCTCTCTGGAATTTCCTTAGACGTGAAACCACGGTATGAAACGATCGTTCTGTACTTAAATTTTATTTTACTGCTTCAGTGAAGCATTTATCAAGAACAATTTTTGATTTTCCCTGCAATTAATATTGATCGCGGCGCATTCGCCATTTTCTCTGATTGGTGCTTAAGTATTGAAGTTTATTTCAAAAGTAATAATTTAAATATTCGTTTTTAATAACCCATTTTTTGCATTGCTGATATACATTTTTTAAAGCGTTTCACAACCAGTAATTTTTAAAAATTAACCATATTTAAGTATTTTTTACGTTTTACCATTATATAAAATTATTTGTTTTACTTTGTTACTTGATATGGATGAGATGATATAACAAGTTTACAAGATATTGGGGGTGTGATTAAATGTTGTACGGGATTTTAGTCTGCAGAGAAGTTGTTTCGTACAAAAAAGTTGCCATTGACAAACATTTTTTTTTTAAACTAGACATGTACAGCAATCTTTTTTAAAAGACAAAAATAAACTTGATTTTCTTTAATAAACTCATACCACCCTGTATCTCGAAAACAACACGCCATCAAACATACGTCTACAGGAACTTTTGTCGTTAATTTGTGATGTGGGATGCGAAATTGAAGTTCGGGTCAGGCATTTTAATTACGCATGTGTAATTTTCTATTAACGATTTGTGTTGGTGTTTCAGATTTCTTCCCTTGTAGAGCAGCATGGCAGCGCGGGGTCCCTTAGACCGTCGGCGGTGGCGCGAGTGGGACAGGCCGTCAATTTGGCCGTCGAGAGGTTCGTCACGGTGGGCGAGACCATCGCCGACGATTACCCGGAAGTCCGCCAGGGAATGTACGAGGCGTGTAAGGAAGCTCGTCAGGCTGGTATGTGACACATATCGTCATTAATTTTACATAATCTTTTTTTATCTTTTTCTTGGGGTACTCTTTGTATCAAAGCGTAGTATTGCCGTCTGTTGTTTGTGGTTTAGTTCTATTACAATCACTTATAAAGACAATTTGTCACAGAACTGGAATATCACCGGTGTCTAAACTAATTTTGTTTCATGATACGCTTACTAATAAAGGTAACTTCATATTATTCCTAAACAAAACAGGGAATTCCTAATGAATTGTAACTTAACAATTTAGCGTCCTTAACACCATGAGAGTGGTAATCATCAGAAGTCAGCAGTTATGAAATAAAAGCCAAGAAAGGTACATATGTTTGCTTATAGTTGGGACTGCTGAGGACCAGTGTTTACAAGCAAGACATCGCCCTTTTAGTGAGACAGTGATAGAACATGAAAATTCATCCAGAAAGTGACGTTCTCTATTAGCGTAATTCGGAACTAGAACAATTCGTAGCCTCCCATAGCAATCGGTGTAAAAATTTCTTTAATCTAATCACTAATCAGTAACATAACGGTTAAATTTTTATTTTTATTAGGATTTTTTTTCTATGCAACAGAGTTAAAGAAATCTTATATACTATGTAAAATCGATTCAAATACTACTCAAAAATATTGATATAAGTCTGACCCTTGAAGACAAAAAAATCCCAGGACGACTATTGTGACTATCGCCACCCTTTTTAGTGAAAGATCACAAACAACTTGATTAGCCATGTAAATATCTAAAAGTGCACCTTCCCTACTGGACAGGGCTTTCATACACAGAATAGTTGTTTCGAAATCGTAAGCTAAGAAGATGCAACCCAGGGCAACTAGACGTTTCATTATAATTCTGTAGAAATTGAGAAGCAAGTGGTTAGAGATAAAACAATTGTAGTTATAGAAGTAATAAATATTGTAGATTATTATACTGCATCTATAAATCAGCAACAATATCCATATAGCATGCTTTCTATAATTTCAAATCGAACAAATATAATTTCAAAGTGGAAGTATGTAATAATTTGCAGGAATATGAAATGGGATGAAATAGAAGTTTGACTGGAATTGGCATCTTTTTAAAAATTCCTGTGCCTGCTGTATGCCCTTTCTTTGCCTTTAATATTCTCGCTCAATATTGGATATATGACTCGAGGAATCAGAATATAAGAAATGGGAAACGACTTTTATGTTAAGGGTGCGAAGTTTTTGCTAAAATGTTAGGCATACCTAGACCAGGGCGGATCTGTTTTGAGGTGGATGTGAGAGGGGGCAAGCAATTTTTTTCTGAATTACGTTCAGTACAACTCACATAATAATAGTGTAGATCCTTAGATCTGGGCGAGGTGTGAAACATTTTTTATAATTGCAAAAATGTTTTAAAAAATTTTAAAAAATACCTATTTTATCCGAGTTTTTTACTTATATCTATGCACTTTGGAAGAATATTGAAGAGGAGAAAAAGTTTTTGAATTGAAGTTTGCACAATATACTGTAAGTTAAAAATGTTTAAATTTATTACCGATGTTGCAAAATATTGCTATTTTGATGAAAAAAGGCAAACTAATCAAGTTTTTTGGATAATTTTAAAAAATATTTTAATTGCTCCGAGGGCATTCTAATTTTGGTAAAAAAACTTTAGAGTATAATAAAACAACACACCAAATTTCATTAAAATCGGTTCGATAGTTTTCGCAAAATAATTTTTTGAAAAAAAATTTGAAAAATTTTTTTTGAATTTTCAAAATGTTGCACAGTCTCAAATAAAGCATCTAGATACTTGAAAATTTTTTGAAAAGACCGCTCAAGCTTTCAAATGGTTTTTGAAAAATTGAAATCGGTTCATTAGGACTACAATAAATTTTTAACACTCTTTTTAATTTTTAAACAAATAGATTACATTTATGAGTTTGCAATTTAGTTTTTTTGAATCATTATAATTTCAAAGTACTATTTTTTCTTTATTATATCTGTATTTAACAAAAAATTAATTTCCAAATATATATTTTTTTAATTTGTTGAAACAAAAATTATTTAAATAATTGTAATAATTATAACTAAATACATTCATATTCAAAGTGTTGGAATGTATATGTAGACAAATTTTTTCATTGAAAAAATGGAATAGCATAGGGTAAAATATACAGTATATTGAATGCATTTTAATGAAATTTGATGTGTTGTTTTATTATACTTTAAAGTTTCCAAGAAGTGGGGTATTTCGACAAATCCGCCCTGGTCTATTATTAGTATTCAGTTACTGGAGTTGGACATATTTATGAAGAAAAATGAAACGATTCAGTTTTATAAATATATTATAGATTATTTACGTGGATTTTTATATTTTATTTTTGACTTGCAAAAATACGTGCACTTTCTATGCAAAAAAAACAGTTCCGGTATTAAATTAACAGTACGTTTATATTTAATGTTATGCTTTATACGCTGCTTAAGAGAATTTTATTCGTAAAGACGGCGATAAGAATTCAGGCATTTGCGAGCAGCTAGGGAGTTAGCTCCCCTGGGACACGTGAGAGCGTCGCCTTCGACTAAAACAGATGGATATTACATTACACGAAAGTGTTAAGAACAAGAATGCATGTTGTATAGTAATTAATTTATGTCAGAAAGCGTTCACGTACCTGTTTGAAAAAATAAAGGTTTTACGTTGATTTTGACATAGTTTTTAATATATCCCTTACAAAATTATATTATTTTTATATAGGTAAATAATATTATTCTCTACCTAGACATAAAAGTAAAGTAACTAAAAAAAAAATTTTCATTCTGTACGTAGCTACTCTATATCTTCCTTCCCTCTAAGGTGCTGACAGGAACAGTTAATAGACAGTTAGTGATTTATAATAGAATCCTATGTGCTACTGACACTGATTTACTGCTCAAAGTTCGTAATAATTTCCTCTTTCTTGTGTTTGGAATGTATTATGTATTTCCGGTCGGGCTTCCTAGAATATAGTGGGAGTTAGAATCATTCGTCCCTATTTCTTACTAAAGTCATTAGATGTATCGTCAAACTGTCATACTGATATATAGGGTGAACTGTTGGGCTTGACGGGATCTTCCTTACGTGTTGAATTGCATTTGCATTGTTTCGTCGGTAGAGATTTTCTAATTTAATTAACCTTCACTTTTTTTGTTAAATTTATGACTATAACAAAAAAAATAACTTACTCCTATTCAAAAGTCAGTGTCTATCGAAATATAGACCTGTGGTAGACACGTATTTCTGATTAAAGGTACATTGTAAATCACAACAGATATTTTACTTATAAATTTAACAAAAAAAAATGAAGTTTTTTCCGACTAGAATACTTTGAAGTACTCGTAACTGATATTATCAGCAGAAAATTGAAATCTATTTTTCTTATAAATTAAGCATTTTAGCGAGCATTTTAGTGTCATACAAGAAATAGGAGATTTAACATTTCAGAAAAATATGGGAAAAATTGAAAACAATTATAAATGCTTGTTAAAATGCTTCGCTAGAATGGCTGAAATAAACTGCAATGAATATGAAAATAATTTTTGACAAAATTTATGATCGGGATACCGCAATCGCAAATTAACAAAATATAATATTTTTCTATTTACGAAACAAAATCTTAATGTTTCATGAGTAGGTAGACAACGAAAAGAAACAAAATATTAGTTCTCTGTAAGAAAAAGCACTAAAAACCGAGTTTTGAAAAATAAATCTTACTACAATTTTATTCAGACTTAATATCTTTAGAATTTTTATTAGTTTGACATTATTTTTACAAGCAACTAAAACTTTTTACAACCTACATTTTACTAAAAGTTTAATTTTTCCGAGTTTTTTGGTTTCTATTCAATTTTTGCAGAAATTTTAAACTCTCCATAATTAGTACACGAAAACGTAAACAAGTATCAGTCGAGATATTAGTTTTAAGTTAGTAAGTTTTCTTCTGAAATACGAGTTACCAGTTCTGTGCCTACTAATAAAATTTCGCACAGCGATAACAGAATTCGTCTTACTCCAACAGCATTGGTAGATACATAAGAAATATATAAACTGACGCAAAAAAATTAAGTTATAATATTTTACGAAATTTTTCCGTGATTTTTGACAGACTGTATTTAGGTGGAAAATGGTCGTATCGGGAATTAAAAAAAAGCCAGTCCAAGGACTTGGAAATTTTTTTTTTTTTCAGCTAAGCCATCGCATGGACCAGATAGCTTGTTTATTCAGCTTCAATTTCCATTTTTTTAAATTTCGATACGCCCATTTTTTATCGAAATATCGGACTTTTAATGGAAAAGGATCCTCAATCATCGATATCTGGGCGACAAATGCTCGTACAGAGAATTGAAGGGCAATTTTGAAAACTGGAATAAATTTCCTATAACATACTGCTGCAACTTTTCGGATTTTTTTTTCATCTTTTTTTTACACGAATCTTAAAAAATATGAAAAAAGGGTAGGTAATTTATGGTTTTTTAGAAATATGGCAGCTAAATTAGAAATATTCACGAAATGACTAATGTTAAGCATGACTTTTACAGTTCGATATACCCAGAAGAACCCTGTGAAGTTTCATCTTGATCTAGCGAACCGTTTCTTTGTTTCAAACAGTCAAACTTTTGAAAAAAAATGAAAGGGTCGCGTTTTTTGAGTTTAAACACTTCATAATAATGATTAAAATGGAAAAACAATTTTTTTTAAGTTTTCTCACGTCAAAAATCACGGAAAAATTTTTTGCACTAGTTTATATACAAGTAGATAACATTTAGCTGCATTTTCATTTTTTTTAAGGCTATCTAGGGAACGGGCAATGGCTTGTTGGATTATTTTAATATCCCAGGGATTAAAAATAAATGTAATCCCTTAAAATAATCCTTTCATTAGCTTCTGAAAACAACGGCCTAATTAGCACTTTTAATCCACGATATGTGTAAAACGTATAATGAGGAGGAAGCTTTTAAAATGTTTTTTACCCATCGCATCCTTAC